TGTGAGTGCCCTGTAATTGGCTTTGACTGTTTGAATTTTACCAGATATTTTAATTTTACTAGATGAAGTAAAAACTAACAAATATGTTGCTTTTTGCAAAAAAATATATACATATAATATGTTTGCGTTATATTTGAGGCAAGTAAGAGAGGATAGACCGAATCGATCGACAGGTGACCTTCTAGCGTACGTGACATATATCTGGGGTGAGGCTATCGATAAGCGAGGTGGGTTTTTGACTATCAGCCTTAACATCGCCAAGGCTTTGATAAGGTCTGGCACATAAATCTTCTCTCCAAGCTTCCTGGATACGGTCTGTCTACTCAGTTCCGTGCCTGACTTCCTGCATGAGCGTCAACGGACGGCGACGGATGTAGTTCGCAGTTCATGTCAGTGAATGCCGGTGTTTCTCAGGACTCCGTCCTATCCCCTACACTCTTTTTGCTGCATTCAATGATTTAATTCCTCTTGAGAATATTCATTGCTATGCAGACGATAATACAGTGCATGCGGGATATTTTGGATACGCAGCCGCTGGACAAGTAGAAACCAAAGAGAAACGGAAAAATCTTGTGATTGAACTCAATCAAGATTTGGACCGCATTTCGGAATGCGGTACCAAGAACTTGGTTGAGTTCATTGCCAAGAAAGCTCAGGTCTGCACTTTCACGGTAAAACTGACGTTTTTTCACGCCTGAGCAACTGTGTTGTACATGACGTAAGTACGGTCTTGCGTGGAATATTGTTCGCACCCCAAAGGATGGCTCCGCCAAGTACTTTTTTGATGCTTTGGATAGGTTACAGCGGCGCGCGATCCGCATTATTGGCGATAAGGAGGTGACTAAACACCTCGAGCCTCTTCCATTACGCCGTGATGTGGCGTTATTAAGCGCGTTTTATCGTCTATACCATGGCGCATGTTTTGAGGAGTTTTTGTCCCTTAACCTACCTTCCCCTTTCCTACAGAAGTCTACACGCGCTGGCTTACGTTGTCACCGACTTACTGTGAACTACTATTCCCACTATTCCAACGTAAACAAAGAAATTTGGTAACTCATTTCTTTGTCAGACTATCCACAAATGGATTACTTTGCCCTCTTACGTGTGTGAAGTAGCAATTCTGCAGGCCGGCAAAATGAGGATAGCTGGTGTGGCAAGTAATACTGCTGTACCAGCTATCTTCGCGTCTAGACTCCTCCGTCACCTAACCTCTGGAGTCATTCGTCGAACCTACTTATAAAAAAAAGATCTATACCAAAGAAAAAAGATCTTGATGATTTGTGCAACAAAGGTGTCATACCTGAAGAGTACCATGGATTATACAGATCTTTGGCTACAGAAACAAGCCAATCTGATCGTTTTCCTTCAGAAACCATTCTGATGACCCATCATGTGTAAGCGAGTCAAGTGCAGATGAATAATACTGATTATTTTACACTTATTTAATTAGTAATACTATCGGCCGTCAACGAATTCGTCCGCTTTAACTTATATATACATTTTTAAACTAGATATTTTAGATAGAAATACTACTGCACCCGAAATATCGAACCTACAGTATCTAGATAAATGTACATCATAAACCGAAACTATTTAATATAACTATATTGACTCAAGAATCTCTAAAAACTTATGGATGTATCATTTCGGCGATACTTTCATTTCCTGGACTCTGATCGGCATTACTGTCCACCGAATCAATTGTCCCCATATCACTGAAATGACATACTTACTATTTGGCGGGAATCCACAATGACATTGTTGCGCGTGCGTGTGCTCCAGCGAAGGCGGACTGGCTCGAAGTGAGCACTGATAAGCGGGACACAACAACGCAATGTAGACGAACCTATTTCACAAAAACTTACTGTCCATGGAAATGATAACTTTTTCCAGGACAAAAGTTGAGTGCTTGTTACATGTATAAGGAAGAAGGTAAACAAACAGTAGTAGGTTTTGTTGATAGGCTATATTAAATATTAATGATATAAAAGTTTTAAATTTCAATCGAAAAAATAAATGTAACTACAGGGGAAGTAATTTTACGAGACGAATTGGGTTTAAGACAGAATACCGCGATGATAAAATGCCACTTCGTATTTTTTTATTTTATGGAATAGAGCCCATTACTCAATAATTCTTTTTGACAAGGTTGAGAAGTACCTACTTAACTTAGAAAAAAAGTCAAAATCATAAATCAGCACATTGCACTGCCGCTCTGAGCATTGCCGTGTATTTATTTTTTTGCTTGGGGAGTTCACCTCTACATGCTTCATTGGGATTTAATTAATATGTTTCGGGCATTTTTTTATTTCCTTTTTCATATAATCATCTTGACAAAAAAAAATGAGTTCAATTTTATTATATGATAATGTATAAGAGTATGTATTGCATATTGCAAATATGTGCTTTAAATGCAAATTTTGCGCTGAACACGATGAAATAAAGTTAAAGTTAAATTGAAATCAATTTTTATCAAGTTTATTTTTGGTTATCTTTCTTAGTAGTTATCATTTTAAACCAAATACGCAGAATATTTTATCCAGTTATGTTTATTAGTGATTAATTAAACAAAAAAATAACATTGTTGCCCAGCGCGCGATTCAACAATGAATGAATAAAAGTGAGCAACTCACTCCCTAACGCGCGATCTGTGTACGGAAGAGACGGTTAAACATGGATAGCTGATTTTAGCTGAAGTATAAATTTTAAAGTAACTATATCTAACGCTAATAAATTATAGTGGAAGAAAAGAGTAAGCACCGATAATCGATTTTAGCTGAAGTAATTTATAAAGCGTTGAATAAAAGTTATTAAGTAAAAACAAATTGAAATTTGGTATCTTATTCAATTGGCTCAAATATAACGCAAATATACCATATATTTGTTTTTGAAAAAAGCTATTTAGATCTGTTAATTTTTACTTCATCTAGTAAAATTAAAATATATGGTAAAATTCAAACAGTCAAAGCCAATTACAGGGCACTCACAGGATATTTACTCTAAGTATCTACGTGAAAAATGAGTTTAAATCCGAAACTTGGTTTCAGCGGTAATACATTTACAAACTTAAGTGTTTTGAATGGGTTTATTAGGTTTTAAATCAAGAATTTTGGAAATAATTTGCAGTTATTCTGTTTATTCATTAGCTATTTCAGGAAGTATGCGTCATAGAGCATAATGGGTTTTACCTGTAGATGCGGCTTAATGAGACGGGTCGATTGGTATTATAAAAATTCAGTAGCGGAAAAGTGCAGATAATCGGTTTTGGCACTAAGGGGACGATTTACTAACTAATAAACTTCTCGCTTTCTAAACGCGCTTTTTTCTTTATTTTGAAAATGTACATATTAATAATTATAATTAGTAGTAATAACTAATAGGAGTAACAATTAATTAATTCTTCATTAATAATTCTTATTAAAAAATAATGTACAAAAATATTTGCAATGACTAAGGAAATTTATTTAAATTCAAAATATAACCCTTCTATTACAAAGGCGATGTTCTTGGCTGTATCGTTTCGGTGGTCATTTTTTTACTATTTCGGTGACAATTTTCATTCCAGTGGACTGCCGAAAACTCATCCTTAAATATTTCAGTAAGTGGTGATTGTTGAATTTGACCCGTAGGATCGTTTAAAAATGGAAAAAAAACCATTAACAATATATTTTCTTTTTTATTTTGCACCTTTAATTGCATTTTGTGCAAAAACTATGGGAGATACGCGAAAATATGTTGATACCTTTTTTGTAGAATATGAAATTCTCTACAACTTTGTACTAGGAACTTTTTCTATTTTTCCAGCCAGTCGCGTGATATTGACGAAAAACTCGTTTTTGCACCATTTCGCATTTTTTTTCACCCTTTGCCGTCAATGCAGCACCCTGCAATTTTAGTAATTAATCTACGAACCCTTGCGGAAATTTTCGGAAATTTTTGTGATCAACTCAAAATGGCAAAGTTAAGCCTTCATTGACTGGACTATTAATTTACTTTGAAGGTCAGTTACAGAAAATAAACCCTATCAACCCTATCTTTATTTGGCCTTGTTTTATAGTTTAATGTTTCAGGAAGTTTCTAAAAGCTCTTTGAACTCACAATCCGTCCATTTACATTTTTTTTGATACTTTGAAAATTTGTGTGTACTGAGCTCAAATCGTAATTTTGAACTTTCGAACAAATTCTAAGTAAATTCTGCAATGCCTAGATAAACCATAAGTTTTAGGGTGATAGGTTAGACTATGTTAGTCAGTTATCACAAAAAAACTGAAACAGAAACGTCCAACAGAATGAGAAAAAAATAATTAAAAAAATTATAACTCGAAAACTACGCAAAATCGTAGAATGGGGGTGATTTGGATACTCCTCATCATAAAGTATCAAAATTTTACGCTTGAACGTCAACTCCCCGGCCACCCTGTATAACTATGATTTCCTCTTCAGAGTTTTTCAAATGTTTCTTGATAATGAAACCAACCCAATGTCTACCTTTTGTTCCTCCTTTGTAATGAAATATGAAATCATCAAATTCTTCTATTCACTCTCCTATTCTTCTCACCTCACTTAGGCCCATGATGTCCCATTTGGTATGTTTGATAGTCAGTACCAATTCTATTTTTTTTCTGTTTTTAATTTAAGTACATTTAATGTGCAGATATAAACATGTTTGTTAGATAGTTTAGGTTTTTTGTGTTGGTTGGGGGGTGGTTGTCTTCTATATCCTGCTCAGTGACTAGACTGTGTGTAGGATGTTTATTTGTTGTAATCATATTATCAGTATTCTTTTCATGTGTCTTCGAGGTGAAGGAGGTGTGTACTTTTTTGGAGTTAATCTACTCCACTCTCTTGTTTTTTTTATATTGAGAGTCAAATCAGACATGCATGGAAGAAATATTGATCCTTTAAAGAAATAACAAAATTAACATCTCCCTCAAAGGGCAGCTGTTTAATACCTGTATTCTCCCTATTCTACATATGGGTGTCAGACTTAGGCATTGACTAAATACCAGGAGAATAAACTTAGAACATGCCAAAGGGCAATGGAACTAAGCATGCTAGGCAAAAGAAAAATAGAAATCAAACAGCACCATTAGGAAGCCAACAAAAGCTCGAGATGTTTTATTGACATTGAACCCATGGAGATGGGCTAACCACATGATAAGAGGTGAAGAAAAATGGAGTAAGTCAGTAACCTAATGGATGGAGTAAGAATGGGGAAGAGAAGGAAAGGGAATCCACTCAAGAGATGGGAGGACGGATAGTTCAGTTAGTGGAGAAAACTTGGACAAGCCTGGCTAGGGAGAGGTAAAAGTGGAAAGAGTTAGAGGAAATAAATAAGATAAAATTAGTGAATGCCAAATGATTTACTGCAAAATAAAGTTTATACCACTGATATGCGTAATAATATTATGACATTGAAAAGGAAACAAATACAAGGCAGACTCATGACAACCAACGATGGGCATATAGGCCTCCCCCAAAGAAGATGCCTGGATCTGTCCGCATCCAGGCATTTCCCTCTAAATTCACCTAAGTTGATCAGATGATAGGTAATTATATTTCAGTCTAAGTAACTGATAACATGGTGCATTTTGTTTTAGATAAAGTATCGAAAACATGCTTACCCCATCATAAGAGACAGTTCGTGACTTGCTGCACTGTAATAAAAGCTCAACCTTATGTAGCCTTTCATATTGGATGCCGATTTTATATAAAAAAGAACGTACGGAAGAATAAAACTGTCGCATAACAAATGCTTGCTTCTTCGTAAAACAGAACGACTTCCGAGATAATCTTTACTAATTTTTATCAATTTTGTTTCAGTGGCCATCACTACAGATATTCTCAGAAAACTCAATATCAACACATATAATCTACCTCAAAAATCTCAACAGATCTTATCTCAAACGGCAAAAGATCAGATTTCCCTGAAAATAGACAAACTAGATCCTATAGCTCTCTCCCTTCAACACTCTAGACTTGTTGCCTCAAAATTTGAGGACGAATATCAAATATTGAAACTAAAACAGAAAAACGCAGAGTTGCAGATGAAAATAGATCGTAACAGAAAGTTTTTGGATGATTTAATAAAGGAGTTGCAATGTTCGAGAGAATCTTTGGTATCGCGAATACCAAATCCTGAAAACATCCAAGAGCACAGTAGGCAACTAAAGCTTAAAGTCGTTACGTATGAAGATAATTATGAGAAAGTAAGGGTAAGTTCATTTAATTTTTATGCAAAGGACTTACGGAAAAGAAAAATGTAGAGCGACAGATTTTAGACTTACTAGTGCAGACTGGAAATGCTTATAATTAACGGATAGGAAATTTGGGAAACTTGTAACTTTGAATAAGGTAGCGGCAAAGTTCTTGAGCTAAACCGCAGACAAATTAACTTGCACAGTAGAAGTGATTATATGTAAAATTGCCACTGCTCTCAATTGGTTTAGCTCAACAAGTTTGTCACTCCCAATAAAATGATTTATGTTTTTGATGTGTAACATCTTTCCTCTCGCTTTCCTGCAATTTGTTGGAATGATTTCGTGAAATGGGATCGAAGTGTGTAACAGGAAATCGCGAAAACGCGCGCTATTTGCACAATACATACAAGAGCAGTACTTTGACTTCATAATGGCACCTGAATCGACGCACGTAAACAGACAAACGTCATTTACACGGCCGCTAACCAATCTTGGCAAGACAAATCTACGCAGTGCCACCTCGCGCGCCGCCGAGTCTAGTCGATGACAGAGGTAGGTTAGCTGCGCCGCGCCGCCCGCCCCTTCTGCCTCCGTTTCGATTCCGTAACGTGGCAATAGTAACTGTACACATACAGTAAAAATCGACACTCATCTATTTTACATTTTGTAGGGACCAACCCTAGCGCCTTCCCTCAGTCGTAGGTATCTATTTAAAGAAAATGGCTGAGTTACGCTACTGCTCTTGTATGTTTTGTGCTATTTGATTTTATTTTATGTTCAAATGGATTATTCCTTACGTAGTAGATTTTATTTCTTTTTTTACTAATGTGAGGTGAGGTTTCAAATGTTACACATCATACGCGACTGCTATAAGGCTCGCTCGTTTTTTTTAATTCTTGCGAGGTGTGGAGGAGGCATTATTTTAAAAGCGCATTTCCCCATCATATTGCAGCGTTTATCTGCCCCGGTATAGTTCCACTAATAAGTATACCTTCTCAAATGTTATGGACAGGGTAGCTTCACACATAAGCGGTATTTAGCGGTATTCGGCAGTATTTGTCGAACAACTATGCCGACCCTGAGTAATTACTGCTTTTGTTGTACCGAAAAATTATCAACATATATTTGATTTTACCACCCGGCTGTAACGATTAATGCCGGCCCGCGTATTTGTGCAGCTACCCTCAACGTCGGTCCTTGTCTGGCCCTTGCATAATCTGAGAGCCTGTGTCTATTTGTTCATAGAATTAGTCAGTTATACGTATATTAGGTGATTTTATGAATACTGTAATAATTTGTTGTACAGGCGAAATTTAACAAGCTGTCCGTTCCCCTTGAAGTATATCCCAAGTCATTGATGGATTTGACGAGCACGTTGGCTGCGCTACGAGATGAGGCCGCGACCTGGCGCCAGCGAGCCGACGACGTAGCGCTTGCGATGGAGGCCAAGAAAACGTTCAATAAATTAAGGAGGGCATAGTATCAATATACTCCTTTCTCCGACGTGGCGCTTGCGAGGAACACGTTTAATTAATTAAGAAATAAGTCGTGTCGATTCTGGCATGATTCTCTAAATCAGGGATGGGCAAACAAAGGCCCCGAGCGCTATCTCCGACCCTCGTAAGGTTGAAATCTGTCCAGCTACCATCAAACAAAAATTAAAGATACTGACCAAAAAGGAAAAAAAACACATGTTGTCGGACAAGACCCACCCCACTACCAAACCAAGTACCTACCTATTTACACGCGAGGAGTAGTTTTTTGCGCGAGGGGCATGCCTTACGGGGGGGCTGGGTGCAAATCGTAAGTGGGCTGAGCAAAAACAGCCTGCCATTAACTCTGAGAGTAAATATTGGCAAGCTAAGAAAAAAATTGCCTATACCTGTTCCAAAAATAAAATAAAATTTGAAAACAATATATTTCTGTTATGTTCTATACAGAATGATAAGGAGAGACTGTTGTCAAACTTAGTATTAAGTTTAGATAATCATGCCAGTAAAATAAGACCAGTATCATATACTTTTTCTACGACGCGGCGACGTGGCGCTCGCGAAGAACACATTCAATTAATTAAGCAGATAGTGGTGTCTATTCTGTCATGATTCTCTAAACTTAAAACTAAATATAACATCGGTCTTTCCTTTTCATTCAGTGCCTATAGAGAATGTGAAGGATACACTGTTGTCGGATTTAAATCCGGGTTTAGAGAATCATGTCAGAATCGACACACATCAATCGATTATTAATTAACTATTTTCGGCGACGTGGCGCTCGCGAGGTACACGTTCAATAGATTATGGATATAATGGTACAAGTTTTACTAAATAATTAAACTTTATAGAGCAGAGCCGATGCTCAGAATCTGTGAGAAAGTGTCGATTTCCGGTCTAGCGACTTCCGTTAATTCTACTTACTGCCATTATGGTTGCTATGGTAACTCTCTTTAAATTAATACTTTAAAAGACTTACTTCCGGTTGGCGCCATTTTTAGTCACATTAGTAGTTGGTGCGCAGTGTCCTCATAGATGTGTCTCACCATGAGGCCATAATGGGACGCTGTGCATAGGCTCGATAGTACAAGTTTTATTATTATGTAAAGCTTGTGCCATTATCGGCATGTGACGATGTAAAGCATCTGTGAGAGACGTGTTTATTAGCTCCTGGTCACTATATAATTGATGATGATGCTATGTGATGCTGTTTACAATTCCGGTATATATAATATATACATTTATCATGCCTGGTACATATGTGTTAGGTACATATTTTATACATAATATAATAATTAAAAATTTTAATATCATTATTAAAATGTTTTATTTATAGATTGTAAAAGCACATAATCACATTTCAAATATTTAATTGTACGTCATTAATTATGTAACAAAATTATGCTTACAAATCTAAGATTTATTCATTTAGAGAATAAAATAATATTACATCTAATTAAACTTTTCCTATTAGACCCGACAAATATTTTCATTGAATCGGTTCGAAATTTTTCATCATGGCATTGCTTCTATTATCCAAATTAGGACTTTAAATTCTCTAAAATAAAATTTTGCAAGTGTTTTACTTCGGCAAATCAGTAAAACCTTGAGGCAACCTCGTGAAAGAATATTTTCGATTTCTTGTCCCTGGATAGACTGTCTGCAATCTGATTGTATCGTCCGGGAAGGTATTCCGCCGTGAGTTTTATTGTGAAGGTATTCCAGGAAGGTATTCCGCCGTGAGTTTATTTCAAAAGGAAAATGTTCCGTTTTACAAAAATAAATGAACAATAAATATGTACTAAAAATATTTCTGTCAGTATATCGAAATAAAAAATATTTATTCAAAACTCCCAAATACTATTGTAGTGTATAGCCACTCATAGTTGTGGATAACCACAGACATACAGTCTGTGTGGATAAAGCCCACCATTCACTACACGCACCGCGAGCCGAACCCCGAGCCGTACCCATCCGTGGACAAATCCGTCATTGCCCACACACTACACGAGCGCCGAGTTGCAGTCCAGTCGCTTGTGTACTTTGATGAGCCTCGCGCGTATCGTTCTTCCCTACCCTACCATGCCACCGGTGCTTTCCAAACGCACAAAAGTCGCTTTAGTAGTCGGTGCAATACTTTTAACGGAGAATAAAAAGAAAAAGAGCGTCTGAACAAAGGAATGGCTGAAACAACGAACAAAATATACTCATTTAAAATTTCTGCAATGCATTCAGTCCTGTAAACCACCTGTTTCTCTTTAGTTTTCTCTTTAAACAGCAGGATAAATTCTTGCCAAAACTCTTTATGATCGCCGAACGACATGTTATTATACTCGTTTACTCGTTCGTGATATAAACAACACAACTGCAGGCCAATTATGGTCACTAATTGTGATATTGTTTTGATGTTAATTTCACATTACGCATTATGCTCTCCGAAAAATGCGATATCAAAATGACATCAACTTGACATCAACTTTAAAATGATATCAACTTATATGCGTATTACGTTCATCTTTGGCATTAAACAGTGATGTCGATTCTGGCGTGATTCTCTAAACTTAAAACTAAATTTAACATCAGTCTCTCCTTTTCATTCTGTATAGAGAATGACAAGGATATACTGTTGTCAAATTTAAGTTTAGGTTTAGAGAATCATGCTCGAATCGACACCAATATCGCATAAACGTAAAAAATGTGATACAGACTTAACAAGTTAGGAGGTGGTTTTTCCGTATCAAATTTCTTTATTTTTTAATAAAAAAGAGTAAAATGGGTCGTTCCGTGTTAGTAATGGACTATTTAGAACGTGCTCATGCCGAGGATGTCCTCGGAGCGCAGAAGAGATAAACCCCTTGTAGAAGAGATACAATTAGCTCTTTATGTTCGCTAATTGTGATATTGTTTTGATGTCAATTTCACATTACGTATTATGCTCTCCGAAAAATGCGATATCAAAATGACATCAAATTAAGCGTATTATGATCAACTCTTTAAAATGATATTAACTTGATATCAACTTAAATGCGTATTATGTTCAACTTTTTGACTTAAAACACTATCGCTTAAACGTCAAAATAGTGATACAGACGTGATCAAGTATTAACAAGTTAAGAGGTGGTTCTGCGTGCACGCACTACAAATGACTGACAAGTTCGCCGACAAATCTGTGCAAGCACACACACGTAGTTGTACGGCGCGGCTGGGGTGCGGCGCGGCGCTCGCGTCTCTCGACGGCGAGCGCCGCGCCGAGCCGCGAGGCGCACTCACCAATACATTCACACGCGGATTTGTCCGCGGACTTGTCGCCAGCGACAAATCCGGCGGATTGGCGCGCCCGTGAATGGTAGGCTTAACTCTGTCGTCTCGAGCAGCGCACGCGCGGTGTCGCGGGACGGGGGCGGGAGAGGCCGACCGACCGCGGTGAGGAGAAGACGCGTGTACGCTGGCTGCGAGCCGATATCGTTCCCCGATGATTAATATATTAAAATACTAGTTACATATCGTTATAGGTGTTACTTGTTCTCATTGAATATTGACTTGGGTCATAGTTAGGGCTGCCATCCGTCCGGGTTTCCCCGGATTTGTCCTAGTTTACGGGGCGTCCGGGGAGTGTCCGGGCGGGGTTTTATTTGTAGTCCGGGTTTAAAAATTTACGGCAATGCATGAGTGGCCCTTGGTGCTGCAAGTGTCCATGGGCAGCACTTATTATGAGGTAGAAAAAAGTTGATTTGTGACATTTTTAACTGTTTTTTTATTGGTCTGTCCGGATTCTGGGCTTCAAAATCCGGGGTTATCACTCGTCTTATCCTGGTTGCCACATTTTAGAGATGGCAGCCCTAGTCATAGTGCACATTACATGTGGCGACGAGATAAACTGTGAGTATTTTAAGGACTTTTTTTTACATTAATAACAAAAGAAAGGCTAGGAAAAATAATTTTAAGTACTATCCGACTATAACCGTTGAAAAAGGAAAACCTTACAGACCACGAGGCACTGGCTATTATTTCGTGCATAACAAACTAGCTACCAAGCTTTTGTCAGTCATTGTCATGTAGGTACATGGCGTGGTAACCCGCTGGGTTTCTTCACAAACGGTTGCTTCATTCGGTTAGAGGTCCGTGGCTAACCTACAGGTTAGGTATTTACCTACTTGAGTTCGAGCCTCAGTAATTATTATGTGCAAGGAATTTAATAGGTAAAAGGAATCACAGCCACGATTTTCGTTAATCAAATTAGGTAGGAATGACTGGGGCGACGCCCAAAAGAACGCATTTAATGATCTTAAAGCGGCACTCATGAAGGTACCAAATTTAGGTTACTACAATCCACATGATAAGACTGTGGTGATTGCAGATGCAAGCCCAGTGGGTCTGGGTGCAGTGCTGGTGCAAATCAATAAGAACGGGCCAAAAATAATTGCATTTGGTAATAAAACCCTCAGCAGCTGTGAGCGTCGTTACTGCCAAACAGAGAAAGAGGCCCTAGCCCTGGTTTGGGCAGTCGAACATTTCAACATGTTCCTGTATGGCAAAGTGTTTGACCTAGTAACGGACCATAAGCCCTTGGAGGTGATATTTGGTCCGAAAGCAAAACCATGCGCTCGCATCGAAAGGTGGGTGCTAAGGCTTCAATCTTACAATTTCAAGGTGAAATATAGTCCAGGGAAAACCAACATAGCCGATCCACTATCGAGACTCTGTGAAGTGGCAACTAACCCGACGGCTTTATTTGAAGACCACGTTCAAGCGGTTACCGAATCTGCACGGCCAGTAGCCATCCCCTTGCAAGAGATCACTGAGAGTTCCCTTGGAGATACAGAGATACAGAAGGTTAGAGAGGGCCTTTACGATGGAAACTGGGATGAAACGGTCAAAGCTTATAAACTTTTCCAGAATGAATTATGCTTTCATGGCGATATTCTCCTCAGGGGGACGAAAATTGTAATCCCAACCAAATGACGTAGAAGAGTTCTGGAAGCTGCGCACGAAGGTCACCCGGGGATAGTCGCGATGAAGGGAAGATTGAGGACCAAGTTATGGTGGCCTAAGTGCGACAAAGATGCGGAAAACATATGCAAAGCCTGTAAAGGATGCATCCTGGTCTCTGCACCTAGCGCCCCG